GTTCTTCAAAATTATTTCAATTCCTATGGATTCTGATGCAGTTTTTCACAAGGATTCTGAATATGTGGTTGGTTTTAAAATTCGAGTGAAAAAAGTGAGATTTTCATCATTTTTTCGAAAAGAATGCTTTTTTTATTTACTTCAAAAAAGAAAAGTGTACTTTTCGTATTTGACCTCTATCTTCGCGAAAATACAATTTATTCCTAAAAAATTTATTACCAAAATGATCAGCGCAAAATTCTCTACAAACCCTGAAAGTTTCAATGGATGTGAGCATGGTCGCCGGATCGGCTGGCGATTTCTGGTGGAATGACCCACAAATGAATTTTCGTTTTTCTTTTCATGTCGGCCTCTCTACAGTCGAGAGAACTGTGTTTATGAGTTCATGATTTACATGGGAAGAAAAATGGAGTTTATAGCCATTGTCATGCGCCGTTATTCTTTCTTTTTCTTGACAACAACTGCCGACTATGGTTATTATTTCTTCTTTCTTTCTGTCAACACTATCGAGAAGAATATAAAAGGTCTTTTTTCATCGGTTTGTTAAAATGAAAGAGAAAAGCTAGCCAATTCGACATCAGTTTTAAGCAACCACACCATGCTTGAAATTGTTTCGCTGTGCAGGATAAAAAAGAAGAGTAAAAGTATGAATTTACTCTTTCCATGCAGCTTTGCTTTACTTTATAGCAGCAAGCAAAAGATCAATCTAACAAAAATATTAAATACAAGAAAGTCTATGAATCAATCGACGTATTCTAGCCTTGAGTCATTCTCATGTTTGTGGTTGAATCAAAATGTTAATTCAATATAAGCCAGCTTGACAACTAAAAAAGAACTTCGTCAAATAATTAATCATGTTCGAATATCTGATAATAATGATCAGTATGAACAATACATTCGACAAATTACAAAGGAAAAAGTTCTTATCATCGTATCAGATTCATTAGATCGACAGATCGTTCCAAGAATCCATGACCTTTCACAATTTGTAGCATTTTATATACTGTGTCAAAACCAAAAGGCAAATGAACAATGGGTTCAGAAATATCGTAACGTTAAATTATATTTAAAAAAACCTTTTCAAATCTTCTAATATGAATATTTTTAGAGAAAATGGGGTTTTAGTGGGGCGTGCAAAGCTTGTTGCTCAAATAGCCAAAGAATAATACGGTCAAAATAGAGCGAAAGCTATTTCTTCAACTTCAGTGATTAGATCTGATTCCGAATATTTTCAAGTTCATAATGGTATTTTGATGTCGTTTCAATTGTTTATTGCAACTCTTATTCGTATATATGATAAGTGAAGTCATCGTAAGAAACTTTTAGACATTTCTAACAAAATTATAAGAGTAAGCTTCGAGAGATGAAAATGACTAAGGAATTTGAAAAAACTTATAAATTAAAAAATGCTAAATGATAGTACACAAGAGAATCATGCTTTTATCGAATGATAGATAAAGCATTAAGTGTACAAGATGTTGATATGTTATTTGCTCTTCAATTTTTCATTATGGATATTGCAAAGCAAATCAACAGTGAATATGAAAAATTTATTCGTGCTACTGTCAGTCGAAAGTTCAATTGACTTCAAGTTTTAAACTGTACAAATATGCTCTATATCGTTGTAGATTTTATTCTTTGAATATTAACAAAGATTTTCATCATTCACCATGGCCGAATCTGGAAGAAGAGAGGTTTCTCGGCGTATTCTTCGTCTGACGGATGGAATTGAAGAATCACATGAAATACATGAACCAATATTTGACATTAAGGATACACCAATTGAATCGCTTGAAAATGCTATCAACCCACTTGTTTCACTGTTGCCTGACATTCGAAAGTATGCAGTTACTGCAAAAAAAGAATGCAAAAAACCACCTGCTGATGGGCTAACACTTGATGAATCTGCTTCAATTAGACTTTATACGATGGAATGGAAACCACGTGATAAATGTTTGTATGTTGTTTTAAATGACACGCTTCGATCAGAAGATGGAAAAAAGGTCAAACCATGGTTTCTGTATTTGAAACTTCTTCGTACTGCACTTGAACGGCTTCCAATACAACATCTAACTGTATATCGGGGCGTCAAAAAAAATTTGCATGAGAAATATTATAAAGGTCAGACCATCATATGGTGGGCATTTTCTTCTTGTACACAATCGATCGATGTTTTGCAAGATGAAAATTTCTTGGGTAAAACAGACGAGCGAACACTATTCACTGTCACATGCGATTCAGGAAAAGATATTCAACATCATTCTCGTTTTGTAGAAGAAGATGAAATATTGCTGCCGGCAGCCACTGCATTTAAAGTCGTGGGCATTCTCGATCAGGGCTTCCTTCATATGATTCAACTGAAAGAAATAAATCAAGCTGATTTTCTCTTACAGCCGATGATTGTTTCCAGTTCCAACAATCTATTAAAAGGTATGAAACATATCATTTCTTCACATTCCATATCATTCAAAACGTGTATGCAAACGTTTCTTGTTGCTATGCAATGTTATTTTTGTATTCCTGAAGATGCTATCAAATTCAAACTAAAATCGCTTACTCCATAGAGTTCGAAACGTTTGCTATTTTACAGAATGTTTCTTTTATTAACGAATTTTAGATGACTTCTAGTTTTTGAAATCATTATTAATAATAGCCATAGAAACTATAGGAGTTGAAAAGAAAAAAGCAGTGAATTGTACATTTTGTTGTATAAAAAATTAGCTACGATATAGAATTTTATTCGTTTGTGCAGAACTTTTAAAAAGTTTCGCATTCAAATAGTAATCATTACAAACGATAGAGTAGTTTCAAAGGAAAAGCTCAGGTTTTTACACAAATAAAAACATTTCTTCCTGGTAACTTATACTTCAGTTTGATGAGATCCATTTGCAGAATTATTCAGAATAGTTTTGATTTAATTCGTGAAATCTATTTGAAATAACTATACTCATTATTGAGCTATTTGAAAGGCTTTGGATATGAGGCAAGTCTGATGAAACTCAAGTTTGTTGCTTGAATATTTCTTAATTGAAGTTAAAGAACTACTCTAATCATGACCACAGTCTGTATTAATTCACATCGCATAAGATGCTTGAATCTTCTAAAACGTTCGAGTATTGGCACATTAGATTTTGTCAACTTTCTTTGAATTCTGTAAAATTTCTTGTTTCTAATCCGGTATCTATATACATGTATATTTGACTACTTTTACACTAAAATGTTTATATCCCTTTTGCACGTATCGATTGGCGAAACGCAAAGTTAAATAGAGATAGCCAAACATGCCGATAGAAGAATATTTGAAATGGTCGAGAGTACAGAATCAACTGAAAAAGATAAAAGATTATTGATAAATCATAGCAAGACGAACTATATTTCCAAGAGAAAAGGCATCACGTACAATCATTTCTATTTGTTGAATCTTTTCCTTTTCAGTTTCATGTAATTACTCAAAACAGTATTAGTGAAAAAATAAAATATATGACTGATTTTTAAGATTCCGAAGCATGATAGTTGCAGGCATCGAATGTATTTCTGCATTGAAAATATTTATTAAACTCAGTCTATATAATTTTTTAATGAATTTTCACTCTATATGAAATAGAACATCAAAATATTGCTATTTTCTTTTCAAGAAAAACCCAAGTCGACACAATTAGAAAATACACTTAGCTCAAGGCGCCGTGGTATTCAAACGCTCTGGCTCGTTTGGCTAGATTCTAATATCGATGAAACAAAAGACGATTGTTGTCGTATGATTACTAAGCTACGAGAAATTGCAAATACAGTGAACATGTTTACTGATCCGGATCAATGTATACAGTTTCTTACTGACATTAACGATGGAAAAGCTTTACTAATCGTATCAGGTTCGTTTGGTCAACATATAGTCCCCAAAATTCATAACATGTCTAATATCCACGCTATTTTTGTTTTCTGTGGTGACAAGTCTCGACATAAACAGTGGGCCGAAAAATGGTCAAAGGTAACGGGTATTTTCACCAAGATTAATGACATTTGTGAACACCTCAAGAAAACCGCCGAAGAGTGCAATAAGCTGGCGATACCAATGAGCTTTGTTTCAGCAAACGACACAACTACAAATCAGAATTTAGATCAACTGGATAGCCATTTTATGTACAGTATAATCCTGAAAGAAATCTTACTCGAAATCGACTTTGGCAAACAAGAAATAAAAGAATTTCTTGACTATTGTCGGAAAGAGTATGAAGGCAACAGTAGCGAGCTCGCTGTCGTTCGTGAATTAGAACGAAAATATCACTCACAATCTCCTATATGGTGGCATACACGTGAATGCTTCATTTATGGGGTATTGAACAAAGCATTGCGCACCATGGATGTCAACATTCTTATCAAAATGGGTTTTTTTATCAATGATCTACATCGACAAATTCAGCAACTGCATTCAGAACAATTTGGTGATCATAAACATTTAACACCATTCGTTGTCTATCGTGGACAAGGATTGCCACAGGTAGACTTCGCTAAACTCAGAACAACAAAAGGTGGACTTTTGTCATTTAATAATTTTTTATCTACCAACAAAAGACGCCAGGCTTCTCTCGAATTTGCACGTATGGCTTTTTCCAAGTCTGACCTGATTGGCGTTATCTTTGAAATGAGGATTGATCTGACCCATCCTTCTAGCCCTTTCGCTTCAATAGGGGAATTCAGCTCTTTTCCAATGGAAGAAGAGATTCTTTTCTCAACAAATACCGTTTTCCGTATCAACGATGTCGATCGGATTGACGGTAGTGATCGTTTGTGGCAAGTTACATTGACGATGATCGATAATACTCAAGGAGACTACGAGCTTGAGCAAGTCGCTACAGTCATACGAAACGAGATTCGAGGACCAACAGGATGGTATCGTCTGGGTAAATTTCTACTTAAACTAGGTCAATTTGATGCAGCTGAACAGTTATACATGAAACTGTTCGAACGGTGCGTAAATGACAAAGAGAGGTCAACTTTATATAATCAACTGGGGTTGGTAAAAAATAGTGAAGGCGAATATTTAGCAGCGCTTTCTTATCAAGAGAAGTCACTTCAAATCCGTGAAAAGGTTCTTCCTCCAGTTCATCCTGATTTCGCAGAATCTTACAGCAACATTGGTGTCATATATTATGAGATGGGCGAGTACTCAAAAGCCCTTGAATTTCAAGAGAAGTCACTTCAAATCCGTAAAAAGGCTCTTCCTTCAGCTCATCCAGATTTGGCTGAATCTTACAACAACATTGGTGTCATATATAATGAGATGGGCGAGTACTCAAAAGCGCTTGAGTTTCAAGAAAAATCACTTCAAATCCGTAAAAAGGCTCTTCCTCCAACTCATCCAGATCTGGCTGAATCTTACAACAACATTGCTGTCATATATCATAATATGAAAGAGTATTCGAAAGAACTCACAAATTACCAACGAGCCGTTGAGATTGGAAAACGTTCATTACCTTCAAATCATCCTAATATTCAACAATGGGAAAATGCATTAGAATCAGCAAAAAAGAACTTTAAATGATTTCTCACTGGTAAAGATCAGCAAGACCAATTAATTTTTTGAAATAACGTGTGAAGATCCCATAAAAAATAGTTTCTTATTCAGTATCTAACAAATTCTAAACAGACGTGTTTTTTTCTCAAAATATTTCATATTGTCGATGATGCGAACATTTTATTTAATATTACACTATTAATATGAATAAAAATAATTCTTCATAGCCAGGAACAAGCAGTATGGATGTGATTATATAGAAATAGTAGATAATCAAAGACTAGCAGCACTGTAAAAGGCTATAGAACAAGCAATGTTTAAAAGGTTTATGAAAGTGCAAGGTAAAGTAAACCCTTAATTCCAACAGTTTGTAAGATAATCACGAACCTTTTCAGAAACCCCTTAAAAATGCTTTAATAGGCAGTTTACAAACGCTAAATACTCATTCTCAAAGCTTTATGAAACGGTTGATAAGATGCGTAAATCTTGAAAGGGTTTGCTATACGTTGTACTTTCATAAACCTCGAGGATTTGGATATGCGACCATTACTTCTGTATATGCCAACAGACGTCACATTCTAAATCTATCTGATTCAGTAAAACATCATGTATAAGTCAACATCTTATCAATGAGAACTTTTTCTTCACGAAGAATAATACAATTGATGTTGATGTTTAAAAAGATGTTCGAATAAAACGATCGGATTTCTTGTTGTTATTCATACAATCCGATGCACGACCGATCCAGAAATATTTTGTAATATCAAATACATTCGAGACAGAAGAAAATGAAAATCTATTAAAACGATTTTCAGTTAGCATTGATATGGATACTAATTCTTAAATTTCCAAAAAATCATTTATTTTTGCAAGTACATTGCGCACAACTTTACTGTAAGATTGATTGTGAATAGTATCTACAAGTTGTCGTTCATGTTCAGTAACTTAAAAAATTTTAAAAAATATCAAAATTTCTATGATTCCATTTAATGAACAAGTGTTGATGTGTTCGTCACTTATCATAAGAGGAGATTTTAGTTCGAAGGCGTACACTCAATATTTGTCTACATAGCTTGTATTTCCACATATAATTATAAAAATAGTTAGGGCGTGGGTGTCTTTCTCACTATGCCAACAGCCACACTCAATAATGAAAATTATGTGAAACAGACATCATTGAAGAAAGATCATCCCTGATGTTTTACCTATTTTGAAAACATTTTGATTCAAAATGTTTGAAACCTTCTCTTATGTTCAGATCCAAGATTTGGCAAGCCAGTAAAATCCTCGATGTATTTCGTAATCCTTTTAGGCTTCAGGCATATCCATTATATGCTGATTATCGAAACTTCATACATGAGAACAAACCTTCAGTATCTTTAGTTATGTGGTCGTATGCAAGACGTTCTATTTTCTTTCTTTTGCGTTCTTTCACCTATTGCCACGTTAGCATTGGCCTTGACGCACACAAGCAGAAAAGACAAAAGCGCTGAAATCGCCACGCATGCAGTTTTGCATATTCCTGCGTTAACTTCATCGGTCGACGAAATGATCCAGAATTAGTCATTCTATTTTATTCTCGCACACCGTCACATTTCAGAATCTGACAAGTTATCTCTTTTCCAGTGTCTACAGATATATTGAAAAATTGCGATTCAAATGACAGCCACAGAAAAGTATATTTTTCTTTTTTTGTTTATATAAGATGTTTCTCGCATGCGCATACTTGTTTTAGCGATCAACACTTCAAGATATTACTCATTGGTGACTCAGATGTTGGTAAAACGAGTCTTATAACGCGTTTCACTGTCAGTAGTTTTCATTGTTGTTTACTACAACTCATAAAATTTTGTAGAATGATACATTCAATGAGAGCTTGAAACCAGCTATTGATGTCGAGTTCGTAAGTGGTTAATTTTTTCTTCATCTAAATATATGCGAATCGTTATCTATATTTCATTTTTAGACGACGAAGTTGATTGTAATTGATGAAGAACCATTGAGATTACAAATTGTAATAAATAGTTAAACTTATCATAGAAATGTAAAAGAAACATATTTGAATGTTTTAGTGGGATTCATCGGGTCAAGAACAACATCACATTGTCTCAAGTAATTCTGAGTCTTTCAGTATTGTATCTAGATTAGGGGTGGCATTTTCATGTTAATTTATTTTAAATTTTAATTCACCTGAATTTATATTTACAATAAATTTTAATTTTAATGTAACCAAAATTTTAATTTACTGCAGATCTAAATTTTCAGTGTTTACATTCGATGATATATTCAAATCATTTTTGAATGAAAATTTACATTTATTGTAAATATAAATTTATAAAAATTTAATTTCCAATTTAATAAATTTTTGGAAATGGTAAACGCGCCACCCTGAATCATAATTGGATAGGTCTAAATGTAGCAGCGTTCTCATAGATATCTATGTTGTTAATAATGAAGTACTTAGGTTTCATCAAGTATTATGAAACTAATAAAAAGAATTGAATTTATGTTAAATTTTAATAAATTCTCATTTACAACCAATCTACATTTAAAAATAAATGTAACTTGACACAATTTAACTTATGAGAGTTTACATTTGAGAATAAATGTAAATAATCATGTAAGAAAAATTTTAATTCAAAATAAGTTTAAATGATGAGAATTGATATTTAAAATAAGTATAAATTTTTATTGAAAAAAAAATTATATTTATAATAAATTTAAATTTCAAGGATTTACATTTATAATAAATGTAACTTTTCATACAATAAAAGTAAAAGTTGAGAATAAACTTAAATTTAGAGAGTTTCCGTTCAAAGCAAATATAAATTGGCCAACCCTAATCTAGATAAATATTTTTTACTAAAATATCTGATAAATACTCGAAACAAAGAATTCTATAATTTGAAGTTCGTATTAAGCGCACTAAATACTTTTCCATTTTCAGGTGCTTACTGTCAAGATGTGCAAGGTATCATCATGGTTTTTGACGTTACGAAAGCTGTAGGTCATTTGAAATATTAGTTTTTTCCGCCTCAATGGCTATAGTATTATAATGTTCAGGAATCGTTTGAGAATACAAAATTGTGGTTACAGGTAATCGAACAACATTCGGGTGAAAATGAAAAGAAATTATTAATTGGTAACAAATGTGATTTAACGTATGATAGGGTTGTTGGTCATGAAACAGCTAAAGTATCCAAAGATTGTCGATAAATTCGACAAGTTATCACTTTTTTTCTTAGAAATTCGCTGATTCATTAAGTATGCCTTACCTAGAAACATCAGCAAAACGTTCAATTAACGTTGAACAAGCATTTACAATTTTAGCTGCTGAGCTTATGTCGATTCCTAAGATAGAGGCATCTTGCATGAGTTATCAGTTGACAACTGAACCGACAGCAAGTACGACTCTGACCAAATCTGAATGGTAAGCCTTTCATAATAAAATTGTTCGTAGACAACACGGACATGTTTTAGCGATTATTTATTGAGATTACTGATAGTTGGTGATTCCGGTGTCGGCAAGTCATCGTTGCTATTGCGTTTGGCCGTAAATATGTCTCAATTTATTTTTGTCAAAACTTATTGCTGTTTCTTATAGGATGACACTTTCACTGATAGTTTCCCATCGACTTCCTCTGTCGATTTTGTAAGGCTTGTCTTTTCAATAATATAATCATGTGAATTATTTTTTAAAACATGTGTAGAGATCTCGCACAATGGAACTTAATGAAAAACGGTTAAATTACAAATTGTAAATATATCTATATATATATGTTATAAGCATAATCTACGAATGGCTTTGCTTTTTCTAGTGGGATACAGCCGTCCAGAAGAGATTTCAAACTATTAGAAGTAAATTCGACCGCAGTAGGAATAGAAATTACTTTTTCAGAATTATGAAATAAATTCATCATTGTGTACCGCTGCTACTTTACTTCTCGGTTTAGACGACTTGAACTTTGTTTAGGTCCGTCGAAGTTTTTATATAGAAGAAAGACAACTGAATGGGAACGGGCAGTTAAGACTGATTAAATTGTTAGTTTTAAATTTTCTTCCTGCCTTTCTCAATCGACAATAGGAATAGAACTTATTTCTTTGCTCGCCATCGCTATTTAATTAATGATATTTTTAGCAGATTCACTATTCATCAGCAAACCCATCGCACACAAGCCGATAGAAAACGATCGGTTACCCAGGTCGAGCATTCCGGCACGGAAACCGCCGGTTCCGAGACATTCCGAGGATTTCATGGGAGCAGTATTCCGGTAAGGAATTTTTCCGGATTTTTCCAATGATTTCCGGTTGCTTCATGCCGAAAAGCACAGGAATTCGGCAAGAATCCACCGGAAAAATCCGGGCAGTTTTCGACCGGAATACTGCTTCCATCTTCCAGCCATTTCAGGTGTTTTCCTGCAGGATCCTGCGGGAGCCGGGAGCCGGAATCATCCTCCTGGGAAATACATGATTCAAAATCCTACAAACTAAAACATATTGAACAACAAACCTCCCTCACCTTTATAGAGAATGAACACGAGAAAATATAGATGTCGAGATGAGTCATACTATCTGCATTGAACAAAAAGAAAAACAAAATATAAGTCTCTTGGCATATTCTCAATAGATTTTGGCAATCTTTAGATTAAACCCATCGAATAAATATGCGCAGATTTTCTACAAGAACTAAAATCATCGGAACTTTTAATCTATCAGCTTTCAGAGCTCTTTCGAATTGTATAAAAAAAAAATGAAAAGAAATTGTAGTGGCACTTTACATATTCACTATCTTATTGATTCTCTAATAATGATGCTCTACTGAGCGATAATCAAAAGTTTACTTTTAATGGAAAAAGAAATAGTTCTTTCATATCTTTTTTTGTGAAAAACTAAGAAACGGTCTCGAAGTCAGTTTTGTAACGCGACTTGAATTCTATTGTAATCTAGCGGTCCACGGAAAACCAACTTCGTTTTAATGAAACGCACATGTAATGAGAAGATTTATAGAACTAATCATTCTCTTCCTTTCTTCATGAAGTGTACTCGTATTTTTTCTCTTTTGATATCGTTACAGTCTTTGTGCATCTGCCTCTCTAAGTCGAGAAGAGAGTAATGATGACAGAGGTAATTAATAATCGCGTCTTTTTGATTGCGGATGTTTTTTCTTAATTGGAGGGAAAAAATGTCCGCAATCAAGCTGTACCCCTAGAGCTACTATTAAGTGGCAATAGGCTTTCTTGAATGACGATACGGAACTACTCTCGAACGTATGATGTAGGACAACTTGATTGCCTGTAGACAGGTGATTAATGCGCTGCGAAGCACAGCATTTTTGTCACGCAAAGATCTCAAGAACGAAATCTTTATATCTACTCATATTTTAGATTTATATACTTATCAATTTTCTACATTTTCTAAGCTCATATTATTCTAATCAGAAATAGTATTTCATTATGGTTTGTATTTATAAGTTGTTCTGTTGATAATTACATTGTTTTACAAAATTTCACTCAATGCTAAACAAATTCAACTTTGAATTTTTCCCATGGTCGATAGTTAATCATTTTGATTCCTTCTTTTTTCTTATATTTCAATCTTTTCAATTTTATATTATTTGGAACGTTCAAAAGTAGTTAGATTTACTTATTTTATACTTTGCTTGACAACTTTAGACAATAAAAATTCATAGATAAATGAATTGATGAACACTCGTCCATTTGAAAGCATGTCTTATTGTCAGAAATTCTCAGCATAAAAGTGGTTTTATCAGAGTAATCTTTCATCTCCTAATATAGAGGCTTGTTTTATATATTTCATAGTGTTAATCTTCTATAAAAATTAAGATTCAATTCTATATATAAATGAAGCACATAAATATTGGTATTCGAGCTGTTTTGTGTATATTATATTTTTGAAAATTGAAAACATAACGATATATAGTACTGCAGTTAAAACTTCATTTTTGTTTCTTGTTCTTATCAAAAGTATATATTAAATGAAAAATAAAACTACAGATTTTATTTTAACACAGGTGAACATATTTTCTATAGTTCAATCTGTTTCGTTCTTAATTTTCGAGACAATCAATGCGTAAATAGATTGAAATTCGAATTTCTAAGATCATGAAAGATATAAATTTGTAGAATGAATTTCTCATATTTTGTTATTTGAAATATTAGGTTTTACCCATTTATTCTACCTAATTATTGATCCTCTCCTTACGAAAGATCTATTTCAATGAAGAATACTTGCAAATTGCAGAAATTTTTGTTATTATTTTATTGAATAAAATGTTCAATATTGATTTCTTAAATTGAATGTGACTTTCGAGAATATTGATCATTGAAGAAAGTTCATAGGTTACCGATAAATATCACAAAACAATAGCAATCAATGTTCAACAATATGCTATTGTACTGATGAACCCAAAGACGTTGGATCACTGAACATTGAACCAACAAACGAAGAAGAGAAACAAACCGCTGAGCATTGGCAACAACGTTTATATCTCTACAGAATGTATAAGCTAATACCACAACAGATATATTTTTTCAATAACTTTGTTCTATCGCGGAATGATAAGGTCCAGACGAGTACTTTGTCAAAGGAACAACCGCCCACTTATTACAATGATAATCCGACATCGGCTATTGTGCCATTCGATAAGAATGACTAGTACTTTGCCGGTGCAGATGAATTCGAAAAAAATGGGCTATATTGCCAGAAACAACAATAACAAGACAATGAATACAAATAAACATCTATCGATTTCTCATCTTTCCAAGTACTTTTTTTTACAAAGTACAAGGTAAACCAACAAAACTTCTCTCAATCACAAATCTATTCGTCGCTTGATTCGATATCCTTGTGTTATTCTTCGATTCAACTTTCTACTCACGATTTCATTCTCATATATGAATTTCTGGCTTATATTATTTATGCACCCGTTTTTCGGCTTTTGTTATATTCATCGATTTATTTTTCATTCCAATTGATGATTTATTAGATTGAGGTTTTAGAAATCCTCATATTTATATAAGGAGTTCTTTTCGAATTCAATACATATGATAAAAACATTCAGAAATCTATACCAAGTCTGGAGGCTAGAAACAAAGCATTAGTGAATCATACCAGTTATTTAAACCACTAGACAAGATTCTTAATAAAATTGAAACATTTGCAATGTCGTGGTAGCTATACTCAGTCTCAAGATAGTCAAAGATCCATTTAGAATCGCTCGTTATGCTGATTTTACACTCCAACAGCACAGAAAAATTGATGAAACCGCGTCCAAATCTCATTCCATCGGAATTCACTTTCCTCGACAACTCTGCTTATTATTACATAATACTTACTCAATAGATAAGAAGACTCTCACATCCTAAAGATGTCTGATCGGCCCTTTGAGCAAGAACGAAATGTGAATCACGATAGCTTAAAATTCGAAATTCATACGTTCACGGAATCGAATAGAAGCTAAATCTTGATTCTATATTTTGATTATTGTTAGAAAGAAACTTATCTTGTTCAAGGAACTATAAAGTCGATCTTTTGTTGTCTTGAAAATTCTGTGAACTACTGTTCGATTCTGTATTCAGTGATAACTTCATTGAGAAGATTCGTTGTTCAGAATCAAGATATATGTATATTATAAACCATCTTGATGATACTGTTGAGCGATGTCAAAAATGGTGATGGTTGGCCATATGCTCATTCACACCCATCCCATTGAGTATTATCTGAATAAAGATAACGAAACATCTTAGCGAATAATTTCTCTGCATACATTTTATTATTATTATTAGTGAGAACACACTTGAAGTTTAAACTACTCCGATATCAATTGCTTAGAAAACTATAGATTGAACTTGTTTTCATGATAAGTGAATGCGCTGCCAATCCGCCATCGGTATTTGATCATGCTAAATTTTTAATCTGTGGAATTAATAAGATTTTGTTTTATCCACTTGTTGACATTTGATTTATGTACTTTTTCACGAAAGCCTGGTTCGTCAAATGTCTTGTAGAATTCGTTAAAACCTGTTAAAATAACAGTTTGAAATGTAACGCGATTGTTAACCACAGTACGATCGACTTCTAATCCATCGATTAATTCTTCTCGAGGACGTTTAACCATTTCATCTAATGTTTTGCATAGACTGAATACTTGATCCAACTCGTGATTGTCTGTGTCCTCGTCATCGCTATCTTGTCTCCTATATGAATATCCCTTTCTAATTTTTTTCCACTCTTCCTTCAATCGAAGATCAACTTTGTTGATTAAAACTAATATTTTGACTCGGGTATCCTTCAAAATTTTATTCAGTAGTGCTATTGTGTGCTTTTGATTAACATCTGTCAATGCTGTCACTAAGATAAACAAATTTGCTGCATGTAGTGACAGATCCAACAAAGTTCCAGATTGACCAGTTGCATCATCATCACCAGGACTGTCAACAAGATGAATCGGTAGCACTGAGCCATCAGAGAGCGTTCCATCATTTGGCTCGTCGTCCAATTTTATAAAAGCTGGACATTGGAGTGACATTCGAGTGTTGAAATTAGTGACATCGCAAAGTTCCTTCAAATTACGTCCTGTTAGATATTCGAATAGTGTGGATTTGCCCGTTTGAGATTGCCCTGTGATAACGACCTTCGGTGGTTGTCCAGCCAATATTTCTCTCATTGTAGACAACTGACAGCACATTTGAATCACGCTGATGAATTTACATTGATACTCGCTAGGAATTTCTTTTAGTGGTTCGCTTGTAAATGTTTGAGCCCACATTGTGTGTTGTTCTTGAGACGATTTTGCTTGTGTCAGCTTTCGCGACCAATCACATTCTGCAACTCGATTTAATATTTGCCATTCATTTTCATTTTCATGAACGACTTCACCAGTTGATACTAATAATGAGGCAGAAATGTGCTTGAGTGACTTCAGAGTCTTTTTGTAATCATTGAGAAGTCCGTACCTAGCACCACCAATCCCAACAGCAGAGGGATAATAGCACAATACATATACTAGTGGTTTCGCGAAACCCAAGAAAACATCCGTTGGTAAACGCACATACCAATGGTTGTCTATCCACCTGAAAATCCTTGAATGAACATCTCTGACAAAAGCTACATGATCTCCGAAGGTCCAACGTTCAATGAACTCCAATCGTTCCAATTTAATTATGATAAAGATGAACGGCGCGAGTATCGCTTTAAGCTTTTCTTGAACAGTACAAACATTAAAATCAGTATGTAAATCTTGTAGGTGCCGGTGAAGCTGAATGAAATTCAAATGTAAAGGCACTAATTCCGGTCCTTGAGTAGAGTCTTCATCCGTTGTATGTGTCGGCGATGATATTGTTTTCTCAAGTTCACGAAGTAAAGCCTCATATAAAAATAAGGCATGTTTGCCTTGTTCAGAATCCTTATTATTTTCAGCTGTTTGTTTTAACATGGTTAACTCTGTGTCAAAATAGTTTTCAACTGTATCGTTTTCGTTCAACGCAGGCTGCCTAGGTAAATCTCTGATGGCATCAGAACACAGATTACGAGACTGCTTTTCGACAAGATATCTAGCCATGATAGCATCAAATCCGATATGACCAATGTCATCAAATGCGGCGAAGAGCGAACGGAAACATCGAGATAATGGTGAATCAATCTGTTCAGTAGAACTAGCATCTAGTACGAATTCACCATAGGCTCGAAAAACAGTTGCTATTGGATCAAGTTGATAAACGGATGGCATTTCTGGGTGGAAATTTGTCAGAACAGCAACTTTTATATTGAAAGAGCCAAAATAAGTTCTGACATTAACTTCAAATGATGAGTTCTCTCGAAGATATTTGGTTGATGCATCTGATTTGCGATATAAAACTGTACATACGTCGGGTTTTTCTTGCGATAACACGGGTGTTATTTCTCTTGACTGTTCAGATTCTGCCAATTGATTTGGTAACTTGACAGCAATAATAAAGTCGACTAAAAATCCTTGAAAGTAAATACGAGATAAACTACTTTCGTCGGTTAGATTGACAATAGCATTTATGTTAGAGACTGAATCAGCAGCTGAACTACGTTTGCCTCGATTGTTCTTGGCTTCTATTCGAAGCACTTTTTGTTTCATTGAGTGACCAGTGCTCAAACGCGGTGTTGCTTCTCGATTGAATAGTTGATTAATAGCGAATGGGTAGCATCCATGCTCCATAAACTCACGATAAACAAATGTGAACTTGTTAGGGATCAATTTTCTCTCGATTAAATAATCATACCAATGACGTCCTACGGCTAAATTCTTCAATAATTGTTCTTTTTCATCTGCTCGTTCACCAACAGAATCAATTTTAAGTTCACTTTTTTTATCTTTACGAATAAAATGATGGCGCCCAAAAATTGAATAAGCAGGAAGTAGAGCATCGTGGCAGAAATCACAAATTTGATCGGTAGCTTTAACAAAAATGCTTGTCAAATCTTCATTTTTGTAGCCGATCACTTTGCCAAATGCTTTTATTCCGAGCTTTTGAAGATATCAACTAAATGAATCAGTCACTTCTTTTGTAACATCCGCTCCAAATGTAGCCAAACGAAAAATAGCATCGTATTGATAAATATAGGTGTCGAACACACCATACCAGTCTGTATAACTGCTCCAGAAATGATAATCGGCACATTGAGGTGTTCCAAAGGTGATACAGCGCAATGAAACCATTTCAGGTAATAAGCCAGCTTCAACAAGATTACTAATGACTTGTGCAGTAAACAACTGACTGACAGCACCGCCAAGAGAATGCCCGGTAATAATTATTTTCCATCCACGACGCAGCCAATTCGTGACAGCAATCAGTGGAGCTGATTCAGCTCGTTTGGCAAAACCTGCGTGTCGAGCACCAAGATAAACTTGGTGATTCGAGTAGATACTTGCATCTGTAAAAACGTCTTGGATTGATTTGGATGAAATAGTCGCACGAAATACAAGAATAATAATTTTTTGTTCGTCTTGACGACAAATCAATAGTGGATGTTGCTCGGCTGGAGAAACATGCGTATCTGAGAACATTAATTTGAATTCTCCAGGAAACAATGTTCGGCAGCCATCAATTTTTTTCTCAATATAATCAAATTTTGAATCGGCACCATCAATTTCGTACATATCGTGTAACCACCAACATAGGTGAATTAATAATCTTGTCCACACTTTACCTTCAGCAGTAGAATGAAAACTTGTTGAAGAATTAAATGGAATATTAGGAAACTTATAGCTTGCATTCATTGATTCAGCCATGAGACTAAAAATAAAATTTCAAAATTGTCGAAAAATATAATTCTTTGCAATAAATAATTACAAAGCAGTTTCAGAAATTGAACGGTGTTGGTGTGGATATGACTAGCACCCGTGACGCGTTTCGACTTCGCTACGAGTCTCTTCAGATGGCACTTAAGTCTATATGATTACTAAAGAGTCACAAGAAGTATAACTTATTATTGTATTTAGCATTTATATTTGTCTACTCATAGCATAGTAGATTATATTTCCTGTGATTTTTTAGTTATCATATAGATTGAAATGCCATTTGAAGAGACTCGTAGCGAAGTCGAAAAACGTCATGGCTACTAGTCACACACCCTACGCCCACACCCTGATGACGTGTTAACTGTCATAAAAGTGATGTGATATAGTCAAATACTTTAGCTGGTGAAGCCTGTTACTACATTTTTTAAGCTTCTAATTCCTTTCTTCTAATGGGTATTTCTTTCTTTGGGGTGTGGGTGTGGATGGTGTGTTAAAGAAAGATTTACACTCACACACCCACACCCCGCTAGCATAGCTCCTATTGTTACTTACAGCGTTTTTCTGGTAACACCAAGAGTTCTTGAGATGTTCGGTGTAATTTTTTTTGCAAATGCCCACGAGCAAATCCGCCTAGAGTGGTTTTCAAATTAACTTAGAGTTGTCAACAGGAGAAAGCGAAAATAGAAAACGAATTCTGATTAAGACACTGCCTGAAATGTGATTCTTTTTTCTTTCCTGTAAACGTCACTCATCTAAATATCATTTCTGTCAATACTTCGTCGCAAATTCTTTTTATTTTTTTTTCTTGTTGCTATTGCGGAGTCATTTTTATCTCTTTCTGTTGAGAAAGAAAGGAAAAAAGAAAGAAAAAAAACTTAAAGTTATTTTTTTTCTTTTTTTCGATTCTGTTTGTAACACCCATTTCAATCATGTGTATGAAATTCCACAAGAAAATAGAAATAACTTTTTTGTTGCCGAAAACTAATCGTACAAAATCCTACTATTGCCAAATGCGCTGTACATCACGAGCAACCAATTTAATTACAAAATACACTTTCTAACTGTGATTTTTTTTCCTACCTTGTCTAAGAAATTATGAGAATGTTACCTAAAATAAAGACTGCCCAAAGACTATCACACCTATTGTTGCTGAAATAATTTTTCATTAATATTGTATGTAATCGAAACGCACGATAACTAAAATGACTCTTTCAATCCTCGAACTATTGATTTCCTTTTAATTTGCTTGTTTGGAACAGAAGTAAAATTCTGCTCTTCTTCACTCATTTTTACTTTCATACTGTGCTTCGAAATTACAAAATTCATCTATTACAAAGGCAAGTCATCGATTCTTAGATGTAATTACTAAGCAAAGAATGAGAACAAATAATAGAACTTTTTCAAGCAAAAATTACAGAAGTGCTGACAATATATGAAATTACATCCATATGGGAAAAACGTTGAAAATAGACCAAGAAAGAATTCTGGATTGGCATATTAGATCTAGGAATTACACGTAAACATCGTCACTCTCTATATTGTCTCTGTATGTATCGGACGTGTCAATCAATACCTTGCTTGAACCCTTTTTGATTTTATGCAGTAGATGCACACCGATATCCTTCGATGCGATAGTTGTTCCATTGGCACCGAGTACGGCACTAATAAACTTAGATAATAAACTTTCAGAAAAAATGAATCCAAAAAGGTGAAGGCTCTATGCTTTTTTTCCGTTTGAGTTTACAATGTGCTTCCCAACGTTTTTCTCTTGTAGTTTATCTACCAGATTATAGTGAAAGCTTTTGGAACTTATTGCACGGTCCTACATTCGACCATGAAATGTATCGGTTGATAGTCCGAGATGTTATCCATTCGGTCAGTAAATCGACCGAAATTTTAGAGGAACCTGAAGGTGGTATAAAATTAAGACGAACAATTGTTATTACGTTTTTAGTTTTCATCAAAAAACATAGCAATATGTTGCATTTAAAAAGCTATTTCTTCGGAAATAAAAATTCTTTTTTTTAATATTTAAAAAAGTGTTCAGAGTTTCAAGGACATTTGAATAACATTTTAAACTTTTTGGTTGAACGCATTTAACTCATTTTTCGTAAGATTCTCCTTTCAGTAGAGGGGACAATGTCTTTTCGATCATATTTATAAGCCAATACTTCAGACGTATTCTACGTTATCATATTTCTCAACAACAATGACTCACCCCATTGATGACACAAAACATTTTTCTCTCTGAAAAGTAATTCGATGATGTAATGACAAGTGATTCTTATTAACAAGAAACTTTCATTGACAATTCAATTTCTTTCTAGTCGCAACCTGATATGAATGCGAGCTGTAGATTTGTTGTTTACGAATCCAATATGAGGCTTAAATCGAATGTACAACTGATGTACTTCGATCATTAATTTTGCTTGAAGTTTAAAAATCGACCGTCAGCCGACGATTCTCTCATTCTTTTATCAATTCAATATTCATAAAAAAAACTAAAAATAAATATTTATCATCAATCCTTTCGATTTCAAATTCTTGTTCGTTTTAAAACAAAAAAAACATCAGATTTCAACTGTATATAATTTTTACAAATCTAAATACTCGAATGTTATTAGCACTATAAATATTGCATCCTATGAATTTTTTCCTATTAAAAAAAGCAATTCATAAAAGTTTGTCACATTGTAATGTTTTCTTTTCCTGACTACTTTGTATACCAAGTTCAATAATTCGAATAACATTATAACCATCTTCCGGTCTAATTTCTAATTGTTTTCCATCAACAATTCCAGCATATAATTGTTCATAAAATAGCCCATAATTACCACGTAATGTTTCATATTTTTCCTTTATTATACGACCATCATTTGTTTCTGTATGCAGAAGTCCATCGTTTTCACTTGGTTCTTTACCCCAAGAAGAATCATCTTTGTCCATTGTGGTTGGCATAACACCAGTACGAAGTATTCCTTCTTGAATATCATCTCCGTGTTTAATAAATGAACCTCGTAGACCGTGTAAAACGTAACGTGGACCCATTTCTCGTACAAGCATACTTGCTTTAAGTGTAATACGTAAACGACCATAATCAAGACGAACATCAAAATAATCATCAACATCTCCTACTGATCGTTGTGTTCGAATATCAGCTGTAATTGTTTGCGGATGTCCAAATAAACTTAATGTCTGATCAATTAAATGAGAACCTAAATCATATAAAATGCCAGCACCTGGTTCATTTCGTTCACGCCATGCATTACCGCCTTTTAATTCAGGTCGATAACGATCAAAATGTATTTCACAATCAACTATTTCATCGCCTAGCAATTTGCTATTTATAATTTGTTTTATGGTTCGATAGCCTGAGTCATACCGACGATTTTGATAAGGACAAAGAATAAGATTTTTCTTTTTAGCCAGTTCAATTAATTCTAAAGCTTCCGCACTTCGTACTGTCATAGGTTTTTCTACGACGACATGTTTTCCTTTCTCTAATGCTTGTTTACTCAATGAATAGTGTAAATCATTCGATGTTGTTATTATTACAAGATCAATTTCTGGATCATCAAATAATTCTGTTGTCGACCGAACAGTTTTTACATATGGATAGATTTTAATGGCTTCATTCGCGTGTCGTTCGACTACGCTACGAAGTTCATACATAGTGGACATTGTATGTAAAAACGGAGCATGAAATACTCGACCAGACAAACCAAAACCAACCAAACCAACACGTATTTTACGTGACGTAGACATACTACGTATATGTCTATCTAAAACAAACAAAAAATTCAATAATTAAAATTTCCTTTTTATATTTTGATCGCGTAATTTATGTTATTACTCTTTTTTTTTTAAATATTTTTCTCATTGTAAATGCGTTTCGGATGTAAAGGACGTGACAAATATACCTTTGCTTTTGTTTTACTCGATATGCGCACATCTGTCAATGATGCTTTTTTTAGCATATTCTTGTACTTTTTGATCAAATGATTTTTATTAGGATTCCTATTATTTGAATTACTTTAAAAAAGTTTTTATAAAAAACAAAAAAAAAGTAATACAAGGATGAACTTTTTCTTCTTCTTGTAGACCTAGATAATTTGCAGCTGTCCTTTTTTAACATAGTTTCATGCGTTAGCATATATTGAAGAATGAATATACTGTCTATCGGTTTGTCCTATTTCGTTTCTTATCAGTAAAAAAATTCAAACGTCCTTCACGTACGATATTTGATCTTTATTCAATATACTTTGATAAATAGAAATTTTCGTACCCATCGCCTTTTCAAGATAAAAGTCCAAGTTGTTTTTTTCTCTGATTTTCATTTCTTCAAGGATAATTTTTTTTCGAACTTCACTCAATATGATATCGTTCGCAGTCTGCACATGTATGTTTCAAACTGCGCATATTTGAGTGTAAAATCGTTAGTAAAGAATGAATATATGACATGACACACCCCTCATTTAATATCAACCAATCGAATTGCGAGTCCAAGGTATATTAGGGAATACGATAATCACAAGCCAGTTTCTGCATTGTTCTAGTAGGTATTGGACAAAATTAAGCTTAGATTATTCTCTCTCCGTACTTTGTCCTTGAGCATCCTATATAAAGCCGAACATTTGTGCACTAGCATATTCAAAACTTGATCGATATCAAATCGCAACAAAGAAAGGTAAGATTTTGAAAAACAAATATAGTCGTATGTATTCTCACTTCATTTTTGTTTTTGAACATTTTTACCAAATAGAAAGAAAAAAAAGTAGAAGAATCCATTTCTGCTAACATTAAAGAGAACAGTAGTAGACAGCCATACAGACACACGTAAGATCATTCAACAACAACTTTTCTTGATCGGAAATGATTCCTTTCTAAAAAAACGGAGAAAGATGGAGAAAGAGATATAGAGAAAGAAGAAGTAAAAGCAAAAAAACAACAAACAATAATAATAATAATAATAATAATAATAATAATAATAATAATAATAATAATCATGATAAGAGTAACAACATGTTGACAGTGACAACAACAACAATAAATAGAGTTGTATAGATAAAAATTCTCTTTGTTTCATTTCGCTTGTGTGAACGTTTTCAAATTTTTTTTTGGCATAGAAGTAGTTTATTCTAATTGTTTTTCTTATTACTTTGACCACCAACAGAAACAACCGGTTGTTCAGCTACTTCATCATTGTCGGATTTACCATTTGTTAAACTGTGCTGTTTTTGTTTGAGCTTATTGGGAACTTTCGGTGAAGCCACAGATGCTGGACGTGTGCTTCGTTGTTCACGTCGACGACGCATATGAAACTAAGTTAGAGTAAAAATAATGAATTGCTCAATTCGTTGAGAAAAGTTGAAATACCCAATAATTCGAATCATTAGATCTTTCATTCTTATTTAACAGGGCGTTGAGTTTTTCGAAAAATTTCCAATTTTGTTCTCTTTTATGAGTCAACACGTATAGCCTGGCGTGCACGGTTAAATGAGTAAACTTTCTTTTCTTCTTTTTTTTGGTCCTTGATTTCTTATGATAGCGTCACTCGTTTTTTTTTTTGGTTCGCTCCTTGTGTCAATAATAAAGTCTACGCTCCTCACAACGTACTCTTAGCTATTGACTAAGTAAAATGTGCTTCATATCGAGAATAAAGCGCTAGATACAACAAAGGCTTTAAGCTTTGGCATTCAATAAAAATTTTGCTCTTACTTGAATAAAATTCCAAACGAGCCAAAATTGTAAAACACCGGTAGCAGCGAGTGTAAATAGTCGAACAGTTGGTGTATTAAAATTTGAGATAATAATCGATTCATTTATTGCAGTGCTATTTTCATTTGTATTTGCAACAGAAGTCGTTGTAAATGTTATTTTATTAATTGAGGAAGTTTTTAAGCCAAACCAAAATGTTAACCATGCTAAAACAACAGATGCTAGACGACCAACAACAAATATAACATTCCATGTTTTAAACAAATAGACCGATATTAATTTTGCTGTTGTTGAGCCTGTTTTAGTTGTAGCATAAAAATGTGCAAGACGTGACGCATGATAAAATATTTCGATGAAATAATGTAGAGTCAATAAAACGAGTGATATACGCCAGAAACGTGTTAAATAAGCATAAAGAATTGTTATTAAATATAGACTTGTATAGACAATACGAGCCGGCATATCTTCTTTTCGTACTTTTTGTAAATATAATTCAGGGAAATTATGTAACCAATAGGAGACTTGAATAATAAAGTAAAGTTTAGTCCAGGTGGTCATGCCCATATAGGGATAATCACGCCAAAGATATTCTAAACCTGAGCCTAAATAAGCTTCATCATTAAATAACATAAATCCCCATAGAACACTGACAAAATAGAATAGAATTAATTGACCAGATTCGAAAAATTTTGCATTTTTTGATTTTGATAAATGTAATTTTTTATATAATTTATCCAAAACATATTCTTGCCATATAGCATGAGCAGTTATACAGATAAGAGTGTAAGAAAAGAGCATAGCCAAATCTTTATAACCATAATTAAAGAGTGGTGTTGGCAAAGCATTGAACGAATCAAAATTTGTCACATTATGTCGTGGGCCGAAAAACGCCGTACAATAAGATGATGTTGCCTGAACTAATGTACCTAATGCTACAATCATCAAAATGCCACAGGCAATATCACCTAAACAAATAGAATAAAATTTTTAAAGAAAGTTACTCATTGTATTTTTTGATTATCAAGGCGATAGTTAAGATTGTTTTTCAGAGAGTAATTGCCATATTTTCTATGAGAACTCCCTACACTTTATTCTACTATTTATGAGCAATATGCTAATGTATCATCGCAGATCAAGTAAGAAAGGTCAATTCTGTCTGAAGAATTCGAGATCTCTTGACATTGTAGACAAGGAACCCGACTCTTTATAGAATTTCTCTGTTTGTCATTATATAGTAATTGAAGATAAGATCAATTTCATAAACTATTTAAAAGAAAAACAACTACTTTGAGAATGGTTAGAATAAAACGATTAATTATTATTCAAAACAAATATTAGTGTTTTATAATAAATTCGAGATTCCATGCCTTCAAGTGTTAAAAAATCACTAAGTTCAACGAACTCTACCCGTCTTCAAAGATTCGATTCAATAGATCTAAAACAGAATAATCTTTCTTTCATCTACTTTCCCCATACAACATATTGCTGTTGATAAATGATCTATTCTACTCCTTACCATGATTTTGAATAAGGTATTCTTGACTAAGGATCGGCGGGTTTTTTGTTCCGGATTTTTTTTTGAGTGCAGGCGGTGCTGGCATAATGATGTTGTGTTGATAGACAAAGTATGGAAGAAACAATAGAAACAAAATAACTAACTATCTAAAAATATAGAATATCCAAAACCATCATGATTATTTTTTATAGTTCATTTTCTCAAAATAAAAAATGGAAGCATTTCTACATGCAAACAATAATCTCGATGTTCTCCCATCGAAAATTCGTGAATATGTTGAAGAAAAAATCAAACTATGTCAACCATCTAATTTTCATGTTTGCAATGGAAGCGATGAAGAAAATCAACAACTACTTGATGCTATGGAACTATCAGGCGTGATAAGACGTCTTCGAAAATATAAAAATTGGTAGGCAAATTTGAAAAAACAATTTTTTACTAGAAAAATGATTTCACTTTTGATTATATTTTCTAGTTATATCGCAACAACAGATCCACGTGATGTAGCTCGTGTTGAATCTCGTACTGTTATTTGTACCAAGAATATGAATGATATTATTTCAACACCAAAATCAGGTTTCGCTCCTATAACCGACCCGAATCTACCAAAAAATCTCAAAGCAACGCAATTAGGTAATTGGATGGATACAGACGAAATGTTAGAAATTCTTGAAAAACGTTTTGCTGGTTGTATGCGCGGCCGAACACTCTATATTATTCCATATATGATGGGACCATATTCAAGTCCATATTCGAAAATTGCCGTAGAATTGACTGATTCGCCTTATGTGGTTGCATCCATGCGAATAATGACACGCATGGGTACAAATGTATTTAATGAAATCAAAACATCTGATGGTTCTGATGTTGTCAAATGTCTTCATTCCATTGGTGTACCATTACCAACCGATAAACAAGTTAATCCAACATGGCCATGCAATCCTGAACAAACATTAGTAACGCATTTTCCCGAACGTAATGAAATTATTAGTTTCGGTAGTGGTTATGGTGGAAATTCACTATGCGGAAAGAAATGTTTAGCACTGCGTATTGGAAGTTCATTAGCTAAGAGAGAAGGTTGGTTAGCTGAACATATGCTTGTAAGTAAATTTATAGAAGAAAGAGAAGCACTTAAATAGTATCCTATTAATTTAGATAATGGGCGTAACCAATCCCGAGGGTGTTAAAAAATATTTTGTTGCTGCTTTTCCCAGGTAAAACAAAAACAGCATAAGGGAAGAAAGAAAAACATTTTTACGATTATTTTTATATTAGCGCTTGTGGTAAAACAAATCTAGCAATGCTTCGTCCAGTGGGACTTCCTGGATATAAAGTTGAATGTGTTGGTAAGTAAATGAAGATATCAATCAATAATGATAAGAATCTATTTTTGTTCTAGGTGATGATATTGCATGGATGCATTTTGATGATGAAGGTCGTTTACGAGCTATTAATCCTGAATTTGGATTTTTTGGTGTTGCACCAGGCACGAGTAAATCGACGAATCCGATAGCATTAGGTAAATAATAAGGAATCGATTTATTGTTTTCCCAATGGCTATTTTTTCGAAGATATGGTGCATGAAAATACGATTTTTACAAATGTTGCTGAAACAAGTAACGGTGATGTTTATTGGGAAGGTATCGGAGAAGTAATTGATGGTCTTCATGAAACATCGATACGTTCGTGGAAAAATAAACGATGGTCAGCTGATTTAGGTGAGCCAGCTGCTCATCCAAATAGCCGGTAAGCGAATAATAAAAGAAATTCTCATTCATTATAAAACCCAAAATGTGCTTCTAGCTTTTGTACCACAATAAAACAATGTTCCATACTCGATCCTGAATGGAATAATCCGCAAGGCGTACCGATTGAAGCAATTATCTTCGGTGGACGACGGCCAGAAGGTGTGCCATTAGTTTATGAAGCTTTTGACTGGCAACATGGTGTTTTTGTGGGTGCATGCATGCGGTCCGAAGCAACAGCTGCTGCAGAATTTAAAGGTAAACAACAGCAAGAAAACAAAGAAAATATTGACTTTTCTTTCTTAGGCAAACAAATCATGCATGATCCATTTGCAATGCGACCATTTTTTGGTTATAATTTTGGTAGTTATCTAGCGCATTGGTTATCATTTGGGGCAAAAACTGGAGTTCATTTACCAAAAATTTATCATGTCAATTGGTTTCTTAGAGATTCAAAAACGAATGAATTTCTTTGGCCAGGCTTCGGTGAAAATATTCGTGTTATTGATTGGATATTTCGTCGTCTAACTCAACAAGCATCAGGTTGTAAAACACCGATTGGTATTATACCTGATCAAAATGTTTCAAATGGTATTCTGGGCAATAGAATAAATCCAGCATTACTAGATATTTCCAAAGAATTCTGGATTAACGAATGCAAAGCCATACGCAACTACTTAGAAGAAAATGTGAATAAAGATTTACCCGATGAAATATGTTCCGAATTAAATAATCTTGAAAAACGCTTATCAACACTATAAAACACTCTCGTTTCGTCATGCCTTTGTATAATACGAATATTTACCGATAAAATGTTTCTTTTTCTGTCATAAAATTAAAACAAAACAATGGGTTTTGGTTTTCTTTTTTTTTTCTTTTTTTTTCGAAATAAAGAAATGCACATTCTATTTAAGACTGAATTCTATACATACAAATAAGAATCGTGTGTGGGTGTGTGTTCGTATATTGAATACATTAAGCATCGCTTTCGGCTTGTGTTGCAGTAACAGTAGGTGAAGGCGGACTATCGCCATTTTTTAATGATTGATTAGAATGTGTTTTAACTGGCGATGTTTGTTGTTGCATTATTGTTGTTATATCTTGATTAACACCATGAATTGGTACAATTAAATTATCTTTTGGAATGAGCCCATAACGTAATGCAAAAACAGTAAATCGCCGGCATAGATGTGTACGTCCTTCGAATTCATCGTAGATTGGACGATGATGATAATATGCATGAGAAAATATTCGATAGATACGGCGACATACACTACCTAATTTTGCAATTGATGTTTCTTTAATTGAGATTCTAGAGAAAACAAAAATAATTATATTATTGTTTTTTCACGACTTTGACGATATACTGAGGGGTCCAGTAATCTTCCTATCGTATTCGCAGAGGTTCTGAAAGAATCTTTATATTAAATAAATTATCCTGTTCTGAGTTCTGATTGTAATTATCGGACAATGTTGAGTTTGTCAACCTTAGTTCGTACCGAAAGATGATATATTCTTATTAACTATCAATATCCATATGATGGAAAACTAAAAGTGCAGGCATTCTCCTTCTTTTGCCCCTGGAAGATAATTAAACGATTATATTATCTTAAGTGATGATGGGAACTAAAGCATTATCATAAGGATCGAGAAAGAAAGAAAGAATAAAAAAGGCATTTACCGGCTTGGAAAATATTTATTGCTATTTAATAATGAAGCAGCACCATCGAGTGTATGCCGTGTATAATCAATAGCTGGACACTAGAAGTATTTTGACGATGGATAAAAACCTGAGAAACAAATGTGAATGATTTACTTCTTTTGGATTTTTATGTGCAGCGCATAAAAATATCCATTGTTCAGTTGCTGTCATTTGTGAACAAGTTTCAGGTAAACATTCTTTCTAGAATGAAAACGAACAAAAACAAGCATGATTTCAACAATAACTTATTAAATGGATACTTGTAAAAGAACAGTTAAATCATTCAATTCAAGACAAAATTGTCTTAAATGTTCATATTTCCATACGCCTTCATCTTGTTGGTCAGGTGCTTTAAGAATAAAATCAATGTCAGATGAATCACGTCGAATCGATTGTTGAATATACTTAGAAAACAAGAGGAAAATAAACTTCTAAAATTCGCACAATCACCTATTTACTTGTTGAATATGATAAAGTGAATCCATATTTTCTGAAGTTTCTTCGGGCCAATGGCACCAATCTTTTGCTTTACTACCAGGCCGATTACGGCGTAATGGTAATTTAGTATTAACCTGGAGATCAGACATATCTGAAATATAAATACGAAGCGCTATACAATAACGCAACAATTATTCATATGACTGGCAATAAAATTACACAAAGAAAAACAACACATGAATCATATCTAGCTTGAGATTTATTGAGGAAATATCGTCATGGAATGAAATAAATATATATCAGAAAATAGATGAGCTTAAATGATTAATTTTAATTTTTCTATAATTTCATCAACTGTGTTAACGACAACCCAATGTTTTTCTAAATCTCGACTGATAAAACGTTCTTTAAACATATTTTCAAATAAATTTAATAATGGATCGTAAAATCCATCGAGATTGACAATAAATATTGGCATATGAATTAAATCAAGGCGTTTCCATGTTATGGCTTCCATTAATTCTTCGAGTGTGCCTGTGCCACCAGGTAACGCAATAAGAGCATCGGAACCCATCATCATGCCATGTTTGCGCATATGCATTGTTTCAACTTCATGGACTTCTGTTATACCGGGATGTAAAATTTCACTTTTCATGAATTTTGGTATCCATCCAATAACTTTCCCTTTAGCATTAAGTGCCCCATCGGCTACAGCACCCATAACACCAAATTGTGCTCCACCGTAAACAACGGTTACGTTCATTAGAGCAAGTGCTTCACCTAATTGTCGTCCGGCATCTAAAAATTTCTTATCACAAATATCACTCGCTGCACAATAGACGCAAATATGTTTTGATGTCATCTCAAACAAAAAGAAACAAAAATTCAATTAATTAAATAAATAAAATTCAAAATTTCTCTTGTTATTTTTTTCTCCGTTTAAAGTCATCAAAGAAATAGATGTACAGAAGTGTATATCGACAGATATACAAATATACGTATGTATTTAAAGATCAACGCGTGAAGCAATTGGTATAGTTCGAAGTTCGTATTTTTTTGATAGATGTTCAGATAGTATTGTCATAATAACAATCGAGAAAAATTGTGTAATATACCAAGAAAACATACGAGGACATTGAGAATTATAAATCCAACAGGCTATAAAATGATAAAAGTGAATCGTTACCGAAAAGTCCAAACACTGTTTATAACGGCCAACTGTATAAAGAATTGCTAAAGCACTAAATAGAAATAAAACGAAAAATAGCTAGTGGAAGATTTTCGAAAGCAACGCTCTTTTTTATTCACCTTGTTAAAGCATTGAGCAAAAATACGCCAGTAAACAATCGACTACTCCAATTGGTTATATTAAATATCTAATAAATAAAGTGATATATATAGAAAAAAATAATTGTTTTCTTTTACTTCATAAGAGAAGAGATAATCAAGAGATGGTGCTCGATCAATAGTAATGGTAATGAGTAACACCCAAAAGCCAAGTCCTAGATAGTATAGTGTTTGTACAGCAACAATCTGACTAACGATCAACAATGGATCCCATTTTTGATAACGAAAACCGTTCATTCTTTTAATTATATAGAAAATAAAAGCATATCTAGAAAAGAAAACAGTATCTAGATTTTTTTGTCTTTTTATTCTTGTTGTTAAAATCTTCTTATAATAATTTTTCATCGGCATATTTTTAATAGCTGAACAACAAATGCTCGACAAAAACAAATGAAAACGGAACGAGTAGTGATTACGGAAATGTTTTGTTTATTTCTTCTTGCCACGTTTGTGATGACCACCACCGCCAGATTTCTTAGTTTTACCACCTAAAATTTGAGTAGAGAAAAAATCAATATATCAAACAATACATCATCAGTTTACCTGGCATGATAACACCTTCGTAGGTTTGTTGAAACCATTTAATAGCTTCATCTTTTGTTATTCTATGTGAAGCACCAATACGTGCTTTCTTATGTTTACGTTTGCCAATATCGAAACCGCCACGACCGAGTACAACATAAAAGTCCATACCGTAGATACCAATCGATGGATCATATTTGATACCTAGAAACGATGTTTGCATGGGCTTTGAATTTTCACCAAGTTGTGCGAAACTTTTCAGACAAAGATTATCACTCATCACTCCGAACATCGATTTCTTTATCGATCGAAAAAACTTCTCGCTTAGCAAACTAAAAGCCCACTTCATAGCATCGATTCTTACCTAAATCGATATGTTCTTGAATACCAAATCCGAAGTTACCCATTTCGCTGAAGTTGCCTTTGTGTAATTCGTATTCTTTAACTTTGAGACCTTTTTCTAAGATTTCTTTAGCTTTTTCGCCACGTACAGTACAAAAGACACCGATCTTTTCGTTACGACGAATACCGAATGAACGAACTGTATAACGTGCTTTTGAAAACACTGGCGTTTGACCAGTTAATTGTTCGAGTACTTTCGATGCACGTGTAAGACGATCGCCAGATTCACCGACGCAAATATTTAAACATAATTTTCTAATACGTAAATCACGCATTTGATTTTTTGTTTTATCTTTTTTTATGACTCGACCAGCTGTTGTACCCGTTTTCGTTGTCGTCGCCGAAGCTGGAGCTGCTTTTCGACCGGTCATAATTTAAGTTTACCAACTAAACAAAGATCTGTAAATAATAAACAATAGGTCAAAAAAAATCACATCAAATATAAGATTACATTATGAAAGAAATAAAGAGAAGAAGTAGAAGATTTTGTGATAAAAAGAAAAATGCAATATACAAATCACCGATTAAAAAAGAACGAAAAAAGGAATGATAGAATAATTTGTTTTTTCCGAATAACTTAATATGATGACTAGAAGTGTAGAAACACAAAATCTATTGCTAATTACAATAATCAATTAAAAAAAAACTACGTGCATCATGTTTTTATTTGTCCTAATTATTAATTTGAAGACCTTGAAATTTTTCTACTTGTGATTGTTGACGAAGATAATCGAAGGTTTTTTGAATTTGATTTCGTATGAACTCATCACTTTCATTGGATGATATTTTTGATGTTTCACTTTGAAGTTTTTCAATTAATGAATTCAATGCTGTTATATCAATCTGAACAAAAACAAAATGTAAATTTAATCTCGTGCTTTTAAGTTCAATCTTACATCTGGATGATTTTGATTAAAATAATAAATGTAACAATTAAGTAATTCATTATATAATTGCACTTGAACGCTTTGATCCATTATTTGTGTTGTTAATTTAGTAGCCTTTTTTAAACATGCGAAGACTTTTTCGCCATCGCGAACCTAAACATTTGCTTAGTGTTTTTATCGGAATAATTATATCTTTACCTGTTCTGACTTTTGTGTTGACTCATTAACACGTTGTGCACTCCAAAACAGATGAGTACATAGAAGTAATGTTCGAACTTGGTCGGGTCGTTTAACTAAACGTGTTGCTGCTTGTGTTAACGATTGGCGTAATGTTGAATGATTTTCTTCACCGAAACAGGCCACCTTTTCTAATGTACCTATTAAGAGTGTTAACGAAGCACATTGTGCTCGTGTATCGCCTGCTTGTTCTTCGTACAGTGTATAAGCCTAATACGAAGCAAAATAGAAATTTGATTCAATAATCCGTGTAACTACCTGTGAAAAAAATTCATAAGCAATTGTTTCTGCATTTTCAGAACCGATTTCACTCGCTGCTAATGCGCCTTGTAAATATAAACGTAAGGGAAGATCGTTGGTTTCTAATTTTGTTAATGTATTAATCAGTTGATTACATAATTGAAAAAGTTTTTGACATTTTTTCTCCCATTTTTCATCCTGAATGTAAAAAAAAGTGTATAAAAGAAAGTTTCCTTCGCGTCACGCTTTCTTACTTGTTCACGTATAGTTTTATAACGAAAAGTTAATGCATACGCTTGCATAATTATTGGTGGATAAGTAAAACGCATACGTTCTAAACCACCATTTTTAAACGTATCTTGACATATTTTAATAATATGATATTGTTGATCGGGGTCATTGATTGCTTGAAAATTGTTGCATAAACGTGCAACTAGATTTTGTTCTTCAACAAAATCTTCATTTGTTATTGTTTGACGAGATGCTTCTGATGGATTATCAGTTTGATCGACAATTAATGTTAACAATAATTCGAATAATTGTGTAACTTGTTCAGCCGTTGGTATAATGGTTTCTTTATCAAGGATACCATTTATGATATACATACAAACAGTATGCCGTTCGCGATAGCTAAGTAATTGTAAAACAAGTTTATAATGATTTAGTTTAAGCACATCAAGAATATCATAACAATCAATTGGAATTTTCAACATTTTAACTAATTCTTTGGCGGCTTGTGTACCGGTTGGAACTCTAATAGAATTTTAAAAAATAGTTAACGAATGTTCCTGTAGGATCGAATTGTGAATATAGATTCAAAATCGAAAATCTTACTGCGTATCTGAAGCGATATTATCAAATATTTTTCTTGTATTTTCAAGTACTTTATTGCCGTATTCGTATTGATCACGATAACATTTTAATGATAAATTAAGTAAAGCACTTTGTAATGCAACAATATCTTCTGATGGCATATTTACACGACTCTATTGAAGTTGAATTTTTAGTTTCTTCTATGTACGCGTATATAGAATTAAACTTACTTTAATAACTTCAGCAATTTGTTCAGAAAAAATTTCGAATAATTCCACATTTTCAGGAATATTCTGTTGAGTACCTTCACGTGTTGAATAGGCAGTTAAACTTGAAAAAGATATAACAATGAAGAGAGCACAAATTAAAAATGTTTTCATATTACCGATCAATAAGTGATATCAGAATATTACGAATGTTAACATTAGGACTCAATTCACGGCAAGCTTTAAGAAATTCATTGAGTGTATTTAGATGATATTCATCCGGAAAAACCTTTAAAATAAATTAATATGAATTTTATTAATAAAAATCCTCGATGCTCACCTGAATGATGCATTCCATTAAATATTCTTGAGCAATTGGATCACGACAACTAACAACTTGTTCCATAATTTTTGGAAGTACAATCTTAATTAGAAAATAGACAAACTCTTATAGATAGCTTTTATTCAAGAAAAAAAATGTTCTTACTGTTTTATATCGTTCGACATTAACACATTCAAGTTCACTTAAACGCACCAAATTAGTTCCGACTAAAATTCTTAATTCTCGACGTTCTTGTTCACGTCGTTGTAAATCTCTTAAAAAATTAAAGAGAATAAAATCAAAATCTCTTTTTTTTTCATTCTTACCGCGTGTGTCCTTGATATTGCATTCGTACCCAAAGTTTGTTCATTTCAGAAAAATTCAATAAAATGAAATCAAGCGAATCAAGAATTGTTCCAGTTTTACTTTCTTCTCTATAGATAAGTCATAGTGTTTAGTAAGAATTTTATTGTGCAACTTACTGATTATCTTCTTCGGTGTCAGGTAATAAACTTTTAACACATTGTAATAGATAATTTCGTAAAAATAAACCACGTAATGGGTGTTGAACACCTCGACACATTTCAACTAAATCACGAAGAACTTCACGTCGTGGTAATTCATTTGCTCGAATATAAACATGACCAATCGTAATTAATAAATACCTAGAACGAACATCGATAACTCATAATCGATTATATATGAGTACTAAACAAAAAGTATTTTATTTTCAATTTAATCTACAAGAGTGGTTGACCGCGTATGAGTCATTCTCATATCTTTACAAAATGAGCTAGAGATGTTTTACGTACAATCTTGGAACAATATTTCCAGCATATTGAACAACTTCATAAAGATCATGACTACCACGACCATGTTCAAATTCATCAGCAAGATAAAGTTCAAGGTGATGAAGTTCTTCAACAACGACAACATCTATATCCAAATAGAAAAAAAAGAAGTTAGCTACAAAGATTGACATAAAGTTCTGTATCTCGTACGTAATTCATAATAATTTTTTGGTGATAAAAGTGATGTTCGTAATTCACCCAGCATATTTGCAGCATGTTTAAGTCCTTCCATGATTGATTGTTGATCAAGGACACGTTTCATTGCAAATGCATGTTGTCGAACATTTTGTAAAGCATCAGCAAGTAATTTTTCTTGATTATCCATGGATAGTCCAGCAGTACTACCACGATTACTATCGGCCGTTTTTTGCTATGAGTAAATAAACATGAATAAAACGCATGACTAATAAAAGAAGAAAAAACTTACCATCGACATGATGAAGACTTAGTAATTATCGATATATCTAAAATAGAACTCTTTTAATCATTCGAGAAAAAGAAAGAAAACAGTTATCTTCTGATGATAGTAAGAAAAATAAATAAAAATAAACAAATAATATGGACGCAAGGCTACGTGAGCAATCTGCACCGATTGGTTGTTTGATTTGCCTTATTTCTGATATGTTTAAACAATGGAAGCATGAAACAGACATTTTCTATACACCTATTAAACTCTTTAAAAAAACTTTCATACGACTCTATAAAGTATTTTCTGTGAAGATAAGCAGTATAAAGTATACAGCTGATCAGTATAGATGGCGCCAGATAGTTGGGTACATCCATAAGGTTGCAGAGAAGTTAGTTTTCAGTTGACGTAGCAGTTCTACCAACATACATTAAACTTGTTTTCGCTACAGTCTGATAGAGAATTTCATAAAACTTTCTTCGTTTACATGGTTCCGGGTTGTAAGTTGTACATCGTAGTTTTCATTTCCTTATTAGTTATATTAACAATCAAAATATGTCATAACATGCAGCGTGAAAAGCTGTGCAACCTACATAGTAAAGTTTATTGAAATTGTTTTGAAAGAAAGGAAAATTCTATACGATCAGTTTTTACAACGACCAAAGTTCGATCACTCAAAACCTTGCCCATTTTGAAAAGAAAAAGTGGTCGTTTGGAAATTGTAGAGCTTTTCATGCTGTATTTTATGGCATATTTTGGTTGTTAGTATAATGTATTAGTGAACTAAAAAGACTAAACGGTCTGATACATTGTGAGCGAGTACAACAATTATCATCACATTAGTTAAAGTACGATCAAATAGCATAGAAAAATAGAGCTTTCTTTTCTCTATCAGACTGTAGAGAAAAAACAGTTCATCAGAACTTTCTATAAGAAATTGATATATCTCCGCAGCTACTTTTGGATTGGCCTAAGCATATATTTTTATAGTTTACTGTCCGAAAAGTTTGAAAGATGCGATTAACAGAGTTTTGTGTTCTTGTTTGTTATCACAAAGTAATATGATGAATAGTATGTCTAATGGCATATTGAATTTTTTATTTTATTTCAAAAATTGTACTTTCAAGAAGCTCATCTTATGCTCTCATTCATTTTCAATCAAAAAACACTGAATTACAAATTAAAGAATATGTTACATTGGTTCACATGAAGTAGTTTTGTGTAATAATGATTTCTCAAAAAATCTATTTTCAATTTGATCGAGTTTCAGAGATTATTCGTGGTACCATGCATCTAAATAATCGAAGATATCAGAGCTGCAGGAGCAAATGTCACCAATAGAACTCTTCATTTAGACCAAAGACACTCTTGACTTGATAAAACATGTATTTATACTCTCGTATTATTTC